CAAAGTGGCACTGAATTCTGTTCTAAGGCAATAGACAACATTTTCTCAAGAAAGGAAATCTGTTATTGTGGATGCAAGTAGACCTCACATAACTGTCACTTGTAAGCGAGAGCGATTTCGCACCTGTTGTCTCAGACTTTTCACTATTACTCATAGGAACATCCAGACCTTAATCTTTTGATTATAACCTTCCTAGCATCAGTGCTAAGCTCTTGACTTGTGTCTTCGCGTGACAGCGTGACAGAGGGACGGAAGCGCTTTCCATCTATAGAGGATAAGTATTTTGGCAGGTGCGTATCCTACAACAACCTCAACCTCAATCTTAACCATATCACCCACCCCGATCGATATCTTTGAGTCTTGCCCCATCCTCTTGTTCTAGTCCATAAAACTTGGTTTGAAACGCGTCACATCCCTTTCATTGTCGAGATTCAACCTTACTCCTTCCCTTGCTTTCTGTTCTATTCCTCTCCTATCCTCTTTCATCCCAGCCGCCATGGCTAGATATGATATCTCTGCTCTCATGGGGATGCGCTCCAATGCACGGATCGATGTCAACAGATTCAGTGAGGTTGGCAGTACGTCCTACTCGCGTGCTGGAGCAAGAGAGATACCCCAAGAGCCATGGCTACCTGTGAGTTGGACTGACCCTGTCCGACCTTATGTAGGCAACTTGCTCCGCCAACATAGTACGAGCGTCTTGTCCGAACAATCCATCAACCGGTCAAGAAACGTATCGAATTTCTCGCGTCAGAGTGAAAGAACAACTGCACCCCCCGAACCTCCTTTGAGATCTACCGCACGTCAGCCAAGTGATCCACCGTGCAGCCATCGTGTACAGAACAACTCAGGCTTTGCTCAGTTTCTCAAGGAACACACATCCCCAAAGCATCAACGCGTCACAGCCGGGGGTCGAATCGTTCCGATGGAGGCACCCCCAAAGATGAAGCTGCCTACGTACCAGCAGCAGCAGAAAGTCGGTGATGACAGGAAATGCTTGGTTGCATCTGCAGCAGAGAACCAAAATTACTTCGAGCAGGAGACTCTCCCAGCCAAGGACATGGCTAATGGCATCGGTCTTTCAAGACACGGCTCCCAGTCTGCTGGTGTACCTGTGAATTGCATCTTTCCCCCTTATGGAAGCTTTGATCCGTACCTGCAAACCTTGGGACAAACACCAAACCTTCTCTCTGCTGCAGGGCCTTCAGGACTGCTCCCTTCGCTCGCCATGCCATGGCCGAATGATACCAAGCAGCTTCTGGAACCTGAACTGCAAGCCCCAGAGTATCATATACCTGCTGCGCCGGAGTTTCCCATGTTGAACTATGCAAACCCATGTATCTGGCAGCCGACTTTGTATGAATTCTTGAGCACCCCAAATCCATTACCCACTTTTGCTCCCTCAGTCCAGCCGCATCCGACAATGTCAACGGCGTCGGACTTTTCGGCGGGCAGCATCGCTAGTAGTGGAGGTGCTACGCCTTTAATGAGCCCATTTTACTCAGGGTATGGCATGCCCTGTACGCCTGCAGCAATTCATTGGCATCAATTCATAAACGGGCAAGCGGGGATGCAACCTCAGCAAGTTACACCCGCCGTGATGCCGACTCCCCTCTACCAGAAGTCTCTCAATGATGCCACTAAGGAGCACGACAACCTATCGGCTCAACTCTCACGCTTGGACAGATATATGGCCATGCACACCTGGGATCTAGACCCTCAGACTAAGAAGCTGTTGGTCGAGCAACGTGTCGGTCTGGTGAAAGAACTGGATACAGTCCGCATTTACAGAGAGCATCTTGAATTTGCCTCTGCAAAGATCAGAATGAGCACGTTGGGCAGCCATGCCGGCATGTCCGAATCAGCACCTCCTACCGGAATGTATCTTGTCGGCAACGCTGCGAATCACCCAGCTTTGTTCGGACAAGCCATATGTACTTCCAGCTCAGATAGCGTAGTCCCACCGTTTGCTATGCCGTCCCTGGCAACAGAATTTCCACCACAGTTGTCCAGTCACGAGACAGGGAGTTCAACACCAATGCCATTGATGCCATGGCAAGGGTCAACTGAATACTGTGGTCATCTTCCAGGATCGGCATTGCAAGAGGCAAATGCGGGCAGCAAAGCACCCACGCAGTCACAGAGACTGAAACCGAGAAGACCAATCTCTATTAAGCTACCGCCCGCGAACCCCCAGAATGATACTACATCCGACAACAAAGCACAAGGGGCGAAAGGTAATGAGACTTCTTGGACAACATGTAGCAAGGATCTGCCTCCAGAGGTTCTGCAGGTATATCGTCAGATGGGAAAGATCACCCGGCAAGGAGACTCCCTTGACGGTCTGCTTCAGGACTTGAAATTAGCCGCTGAGCCGCCGGTCAAGCAGACCCCCGAGGGGTACTATCAACCAACCTTTTCGGCAGCCAATGCCATTGGGGAGCAGAGAGTGACGACTCAAATGAGTGAGAAAGCCGGTGCTGTCAAATCCAAGTCCGCTGATTTCTCGGGGCCAGACTATTCGAGGCAGCGCTCTAGCCGGGACTCCCGCAAGTATCGCAACCGGCCTCGGAGCCATGAAGACGTGGACAAGAGTCGCTTTGTTGCTGTGGAGGAAGAAGATGCCCGCTCTATGCTTTCCTATGTCTCGACCACAGACTCGTGGGCCACTGTGCATGAAAGAGAGTAAGCTCCTGTCTCCGTTGCCAGTGCTTAATCTCGATGGTCTAAGTCAATGCGTAGCTACAGTTTCCACAGGACGGAGTTTGGTCGTCACGAGAGCACACAGAGGCGAGGCCTGTCTCATGAAAGGTATGACGTTGCTGATTGATTGTGGCAGAACGCTGATGGGAATGTGTTACAGGAGCGCCGGTTCTGCGAAGCGTCCTACGACCCCGTTCTTCGAGATTTCCAACTCCGTGACCCAGCTCGCTCTTATGTCTGGCTCTGGTGGTCTCGGCAAACCCAGGACGGCGCACAGGCGGAGCGGCCCTGCCCTTGCAGACGACCCTCAACAGTCTAGACAACGGAGCAATGTGGAAAGTGTGAAGCATTCCTTCTCGCCGCTCCTTGCACCGTGCCTGATAAAAGATCGCGGGCTGGCCGGACCAAAGACGATGGCCTTGGCAGTTCCCCAGAATGTTCATGCGCATGGCATCCTGCCTCACTTTGCCCGCATGGAAGATGTGCCTCGAAAGAGCAGGGCAGCTCCGATGACTGGACATGAGGTTAATCGCGAGTGGCAGCCGCATCAAGTCCATGATCACAAACAGAAAGACAATCTGTGGTACAAGACAGATCGAGGAATCGGAACCTAGCGCTGAAGAATGTTGCTTGAGTGGAGGCCTAGGCTAGGCGCACTACTTGAATCATCTTTCCTGGAGCTTGCGGTGTTTGTTTGGGTGAAGTTGCTCCTTTGTTACATCGTAGTGAGACATGGTGGAAGACAGTGGCTGGAGGCGGATTAGCGGTGAGGTTGAAGTTGAAACTGTTTCATGCCCACAGCCAGTCTTGGAGATGGAGGTTTGGCGTCTGCTCTTCTTGTATGATTTTAACATTGTATCACTGGTATCTGCAAAAGGCCCTCCGATTAGGTATGGCATGGTTAATTTGTTCCACTGCTTCGAGCAGTTTTGTCGCCATGAGCCGAGAGTTCATAATGCAAGTGTAATTGCTCGATTTTACGTGGTTGCGATTGAGCAGTTGACACTGGAGCCTGGAGGTATGCTTACCGGTAGTATCCCGTATGATATGTCAAGTTCATGGGCTCATCCGAGATCTACGGAGTACTGAAAGTGGATCAATTTCTTTCCACTTGGATTTGAAAATGTACCAGTCATAGGAGATGTCATTTTTCCCAATGACGAGATCGACGATATCAAATTCCAACATGGGGAATCTTAGGTGATACTACTCCGTACTAACATAAGTTATGGGCTGAGAGGGCCGAGAAGTTCCTCCCTTGCGTAGGGCGGTGCGTTTTTTTTTTTTTTTTTTTTTTTTTTTTTTTTTTTTTTTTTGGATGAGTGCGCTTGCTCCCCCCCCCATATCCCAAAGAACGATCCCAGGGAACTATGACCGAAATGAACCCCGCAACGTAAAAAAAGGAACCAGAAATGGGTCGGATTTTAACAGGCCTGGAAGTTTATGGATTTCTTGCGACAGAGTTATTTACGATCATCGATCATCGAGACGAGACCGGACCAGATACGGAGTAAGGGTCTGGGCAAAAAGGCGAGGACTGAAACACGACACGCCCTGCAACTGTGGGTTTCATGCTATTCTTTTTTTAATGGAACAAAGAAGAAAAATAAATAAATCGAACCGGGCAGACAGATAGGCAGGCAGGCAGGCAGGCAGGCGATGTTCAGCCAAGAATTCGACCGGCGGAGGAGAGTCGGATATGTGTGTGGGGGGGGCGTGATGGGAGGGGGCCCCAAAGAGAGCGAGGCAGTTCGTTCCTGGCTGGTGGCACAGTGCGTGCGCGGATCTTTGGATTGGAATGATTGGTGTCAAGGGTAATGTTCTGGCTCGAGAACCTGAGGGTAACGGTGGTTCTCTATGTGCTCTATGTGCTCTATGGGCTTTCTGGGCTAACTTATATGGATGGTATGGAAAAGTCCAGAAGGGCAGGATGTCTGTTCCAGGGCAGGTGGGAATTATGGCGTTGATTATGGTATGGACCAGTCTCAGTAAGGCAGAGGGGAAGAGAAGAGGGAAAGAAGTGGCAAGCATCTAGTAAAACTAGTGGCATAGCCACGGTAAGACAGACTGGTTCAATCCAGTATTTGGACTAGTCTTCCAGTTTGGGGTCTTGTCTTGAACTTCTCTTCTTGACTATCGAAGGACCTCACGGCATATCATATTCTTTTCCCAGAATTAATGACAGGTGCTATGGATTGGTTCCCTAATGGTTTGGAATGAGTTGATTGACTAATGTCAAGTTGGCTTAGTTAGTTTCCAATCGGCTCCGATAGTGGCGGTTTAAAGGTTTAACTTGAAAGACTTGTATGGTTACGTATGTGTATGAGTTCTGAGTGTATCAACGCACGCCGCCTCCAGCCGGGGCTGACTTCACTTTAGGTAAGCTGCGGATGGACTGTTCCATCTTCCATCTTTCCCTCCCTCCACCTTCTGTCGGTCTTCCTGTCTCCACTTTTTTACTATCACTCTGTCTGTCTGTCGTTGTTTCTCTTGTCTCCTCTTTTGCCTCTTTCTATGCTATCTCTCAATCATTTCCCCTCTACCCTCCCTCCTCCCATTCAATTCTTCTGTCAGTGATACCTCTGTTTCAATCTACAATCCGCACCATACTGCCACCACCCCCTGCACCAATTCGTGGCTATTTTCACACATTCTTTCGTCTTCGTTGCGGTCGGACTGTTGTCGACCGTGTTGTCGGGTCAAGGCTCCCCTCCCCTCCCCTCATCATTCCCGGGCTGGAACTGGCTCTGGCACTGGCTCTGGCACTGCGTCCCCAATCCAAGTTTCCGGTGCGAAGCCCGTTAGTTCGGTCACCACCCACACCACCCACACCCAGTGATTAGCACCGCCTTCCCTCCCTCTCTCCCCCGCGGCTTCTGGCCCGTCGCTGGGTCCTCGTCCGCCCGTCGCAACTCTTCCTCTCCATCTTTGTGTTCTTCTTCACTTGTTCTTGTCCACGTCTGCTCTGTTTGATTCCATCCCGCACATCCCCTCCTCTTTTTGGACCTTTTGGACCATCTGGACGAGTCCTTGGTCCGTTCCAGGCTCCAGTCTCCGGCCATGACGCAACTTTTCGCTTCCAGTCCGTCCTCGGTGACGAACGAGAAACGCGGCAACTTCCCGAGCCTATCTCTGGCCTCCAAGAAACAACATTCAAACGATTCAAGTCACTTTCCCACCAAGATTCGAAACTTCTTCCGCATCAACAGCTCCAGCAGTAATGTCTCCCATGTCAGTCACCACAGCGGAAGCGATCGGAGTCATGAAACCAGCAACCTCTCCTCGTCACCTGGCAAACACGAATCCAAATCCACCTTCAGACAGTCCCGATTTCTCCCCACCATTGGTCGCAATCGCTCGACCACCGTCGCCAGTGAAGGAAACCCGCTAGACGAAGGCGTGTCGCCCACGGCAACGGCGAACCCATACTTCCAACATCAAGGGCAGCCGTCCTTGCAGCATCGTAATGATGGATCCATTCCCTCTTCTCCACCAGATACCCCCGAGTTACAGGTCGAAGGCGTCTCCGCCGCCGAGCAAGCGACCACCGCCAACAAGGAAGAGTTGGCTCGCAAACTCCGCCGTGTCGCTTCGGCGCCCAATGCGCAGGGTCTGTTTGCCCGCGGCCAGGCTGGTGAACGGCCGCAGACCGCCGAGCAGGACCAGGAGCCCTTGCCGGTGGGGTCGAGTAGTCTCGTTCCTCAAGTGACGACAGTCGAGGTGTCTGAAGAGCAAGAAATCAACCTGGCCGTGCCGACACTTGGTGCTGACGGCAAGATCCCCACCCCTGGCCAGATCCGAGATTCCGTTGCATTTCGCCGAACATACAGCTCCAACTCGATCAAGGTGCGGAATGTGGAGGTCGGTCCAGGCAGCTTCGACAAGATCAAGCTGATTGGCAAGGGTGATGTGGGCAAGGTGTATTTGGTCCGGGAGAAGAAGACCAGCCGACTCTATGCTATGAAAGGTGCGCGTTCCGCGAGAACTAGGAGAGAACTTGCTGACTGAATTGACCAGTGCTGAGCAAGAAGGAAATGATCAAGCGTAACAAGATCAAGCGCGCGTTGGCTGAGCAGGAAATCTTGGCCACTAGCAATCATCCATTCATTGTTACGCTCTATCACTCTTTCCAGTCCGAGGACTATCTTTATCTCTGCATGGAGTACTGCAGTGGCGGTGAATTCTTTAGAGGTATGTTGAGTCTAGATGGGTGTCAAGGCAAGGTGCTAATGGGTTGCTCTAGCCCTGCAAACTCGGCCAGGAAAATGCATTTCGGAAGACGCCGCCCGTTTCTACGCTGCGGAAGTGACTGCTGCTCTGGAGTATCTTCACCTGATGGGATTCATCTACCGTGATTTGAAACCCGAAAGTAAGTCGCGCCTGAGGATTACTGCGTGGACATGTCTCACAATGACGTATTTTAGACATTCTCCTCCATCAGTCAGGCCACATCATGTTGTCTGACTTCGATTTGTCCAAGCAGTCCGGACCGGGCGGTGCACCTACCATGATTCCGGCCCGGAGTGGCAACTCGACAACGTCTCTACCAACCATCGACACGAAGTCATGTATTGCTGATTTTCGGACGAACTCTTTTGTGGGTACGGAAGAATACATCGCTCCTGAGGTCATCAAAGGCTGCGGACATACTAGTGCGGTCGACTGGTGGACTCTGGGCATTCTAATCTACGAGATGCTATACGGAACGACACCTTTCAAGGGCAAGAACAGGAATGCCACATTTGGCAATATCCTGCGGGACGAAGTGCCTTTCCCTGAACACTCTGGGGCTCAGCAGATTTCCAAGTAAGATTGCACTGATCGTTCCTGTCATGTTCTCGATGGATGCTAACGTATGCGCAGTCTTTGCAAGTCCCTGATTCGGAAGTTGCTGATCAAGGATGAGACAAAGCGTCTCGGAGCTCGGGCTGGTGCCTCAGACGTCAAGACACATCCTTTCTTCCGACAGACGCAATGGGCTCTCATCCGCCATATGAAGCCCCCCATGATCCCACACCAAAGCCGAGGAACAGAAACCCTTAACTTCCGCAATGTCAAGGAGAGCGCCAGTGTCGACATCGGAGGCAGCCAACCGATGAAGATGAAAGGGGTTCCCATGGATTCCGGTCTGGCTACACCGAATGCCGAAGTTGCGGATCCGTTTGAAGAGTTCAACAGCGTCACTCTCCACCATGATGGAGATATGTAGAGTGATTCTACAATGTTGTTGGGACGGATGCTCTGCGCTCTGTCTAAGGACGGCTGATGAACGAGTTCAGGCTGACACTTGGGCTCTGGCACGACCATGACGCATTAAGACGAAGACTTATTGGAGTTCACCATTTCCGACTTTCATACAGTTACCACCCGGAGTACTGGTTCTTTTCTCCCGGGGTTTAATTTATGGGGTGTTAATTGAATCATGCTGATGATCAGATAAATAGATGGCATTTTGCGTATATTATATGCATGGCCATTCTCGGGTTTTTTTTTCTTTTTGCTTTTTTGCTTTTTTGCTGGATGTTGCAGCGATGTGATTCCGCCTGCTTCTTTTTCTTGTTCTGCGTCTATATTGTCACCATTGCAGAAGACGGCGTTTGCGATCTCGGTTGTATCGTATCAAAACACTTTTTTTTGAGCAGGTTGGGGTCTGTTGAATTGCCCAGGAAGACCCGGCCTTTTTCACCTTGCACTGCATCTTTGTTGCTGCGGTACCCCAAGAGGCCTGGTGCCTTAAGGGGAATGATACATGCTACTAGTATATGAATGAATCTATGTATCAGTGTTGGTGTTGTGATTGGTGTAGTGATGGGTGGTATGTGAAGTATGAACAGTGGCTGCTATGTAGAAGGTATACACCATACTGTAGGGATTCTCGATAGATCGAATGTACAGACATGGCTGCCTTTGGATTGCAAATGTCGGCCAACAGTCCCACCGTCCTTCCTGCCATCGGTGCAGGGCAGGGGTTACTAGGTACGCACTCAGCTAGAGTGCCGGCCAGTCAGTCTAATGTAAAAATATCTGGGCAATACAGCAGTTCACATTAGCCACGCCGTCAATGCATACTATTATCCGCGTTTGTCGGAGTTACTGCGTTTGCTGTATAGAAATCGCTGGATAGATAAGCCCAGTTTAAGGTACAGTACTGTACCTTGAGCTGAATCGGCAGATAAGTGGGGGGTGGAGGTGGGGTACTTGACTGTACAGTCCAATTAAGGTCAAAGGTCAACTCTCGCTGTCTATTTTCTTTTGGTTTATCGATAGGGAAATCCGACTAGCCTTGATATATATATATATATATATTGGAGTAGATGTGAATCTTGCTAATGTAGATATGAGTAAAGTCAGTCAGCTAGAGACTGGTGTTTACACCAAAATAAGTAGACCGAACTTGGTCGCCCAACCCTACATGGTAATACAATTTGACCAAACCAGTTAGTTAGTTCCCGCCGACTCTCATTGCCCGCCAACAAAACAAAGCAAACCATAAACCCGACCTGGAACCTTCAATTCCAAGCCCGCGAGTGACCGCAAGACAGTACCAATCTGGACCAATTCCACCTACAACTCACAGTCTACTGCCTACAGCCCACCATCACTCTCCCCAACCACCGACCCCGCTTTCCAGAAAAGAGAAAATGTCCCACCTCCACGACCTCACCGACCCCGCCGGCGTCAGCATCAAAGACGACCCCTCCGCCGCCGCGATGACCCCCGACGAAGAAGACAACGACCACACCCATCCCAATCCCACGACGTCCACCAGCACCAGCACCAGCACCAGCACCAGCACCAGCACCAGCACCAGCACCAACCCCCTCCTCAACCCCACCAACCCCCTCGTCTCAGATCTCGAGCAGGAAGTCCTCGACGAGTACGCTCGGTTACTCGGGAACGTGAACGCGGTGGGTGTCTTTTTTTTTTTTTTTTGCCGCGTGAATCGTCCCAAACTTCCTTGAAAAGGAAACTTTGATGCTCTTTATTCTCGTTGAGTTACGTTGGGAAACAACCGGCGAAACAACCGGCTAATGGGAAATGGTAAAGCTCTCCACCAAACTCGCCGACCTCGCCGGCAGCCCCGCCTCCATGACCCTCGACGGCCTCCGCCATCTCGAGCGCAAGACCGCCACCGTGTGCACGCTGCTCAAGGCTAGTGTGTATAGCATTGTGTTGCAGCAGCAGATGATTAATGAGTCGGAGGGGCAGCACCAGCAGCAGCAGTTTGCCGGCCAGGGGGAGGGGCACGGCCAGGGGTTTGGGGATGCGATGGGGTATGAGGGGGAGCAGGCGGAGCAGGCGGAGCAGGGATATGGGTATGGGTATTATGATGAGGGGCAGGGGCAGGATGTTAGTCTTTTGGGACGGGTTTGAATTTTTTTTTCTTCTTAAGGGGGGAGTATGGGTTGGGTTGGTGCTTTGGAGTTTTGGGGATCGTTTGTCTGTTGTCTGTTGTATACCCCTGCTTTTTTTTTTTCTTTTTGGGACGGGCTAGGTGCTGTGGGATGAAGATGGTTATGTATTTTTTTGCTTACTTCGGGTGGGGACGAGGAACAGGTTATCTCAGTTCTATCATAACCGAACATAGGCTGGATACAAATACAGGTTGACTGAAGAGAGAGAGATACAAAATACACCATAGGGGAAAAAAAACCCATTATTTACACCACCGCCATGGCGCAACCAGAAACCGGCAAAAGCAAGAAATCAAAAGACCCGTCCAGAGTAGTACACCTTGCGCACATCGACCATCTTCTTACCCCGGGCACGGGCGACATCCTCCGGGTTACGCTGCGACAAGAGCGCCTCGTAGGCAGCCTTCACGGTGTTCATCTTGTTTCTGGAACGGTTGACCCGGGCAGCGAGATCGGTGATACCGGCAGCAAGGCACATCTCGTAGATGAGGGATTGGCAGCGGATTCCGAAGCCTAGTTCCGTGTTAGCACATGACAAGACGACACAAGGGGGGGGGCGGAGAGAACATACCCGGAGGACGAGTCATCAACTTCAGATCCATCGCACCAACCTTGGCCGTCACATCGCCGTAGATGGTGCGCTGCTCGTATCGCAGGATGGGCCGCATGTTCCGGATCGCACGGTACTTCGCTTGCTCGATAGCATCGGCGGCTTCGAAGGACTTGGCTTCGCCGAGACCCAGCAAGCCGTCGCGGTTGCCGGCGATCGCCAGGCAGTAGAACCGCTGCACTTTGCCCAGACGCGTCTGGTTGGTGACCGAGTGGAACACCAGCGACTTGGTGGACAGACTCTTGATGTACTCCTGACTAAGGCCCGTGGACTGGATCAGTTGCGCCAACGGCGGCGAAACGCCCTCCAACGAGATGGCGGGGCGGTGGAGGCTTTGGTCCCGGGCCTGGCCCTCCTTGCCCTCCTCCTCCGGCACACGCAGCTTGTCGCCCTCCTGGAAGAAGTCCGGCGCCAGCGAGGTGTGCGGGCGGCGTTCGGCCTCCTCCTTGCCCTTGGTCAGCCGGTTGTTCTCCGCCCACCGGACGAAGTGGGCCGCGTTCATGTCGCGCGGCATCTCCTGGATGTACTGGGCGAAGTCCTGCATCAAGTCCTCCGTGCTCTTCAACTTCTGGGTGGGGTCCGAGTTGGTCTCGGGCGCCCGCACGTGCTTGTCGACCCCGGGCTCGACGTGCGAGAAGTCGTCCAGGTACTTCAGCCGCATCGGATCCGTGCGGACGGCGAACTGCCGCGCGAAGTCCTTGGGGTCGATCGCCGCCTCGCCGGCCTCGATCGCCGCCACCTGCTGCGCGCTGTACACCTCCCGCAGCTGGGCCAGCTCCTCCTCCGTGTAGGGCCGCACGCTCGCCGCCCTCATCTTCCGCGTGATCGTACCCAGCTTCCGCTTGACCGCCGCCTGCTTTGTCGTCTTCGGAGTATCGGCCGCCACGGACACGGCAGGGTCTTTCGGCCTCTGATCGTCAAGGCGGAAGGGAGAAGGGTGGAATTGACGGCGAGGGACGCGAGGAGCCGCCGAGGCGGCTCGCGAGAAGTTGCATAGCGTGCATCGGGCGGGACGAGTGAAATTCATGGTGAAGGGTGAGAGAAGAAGAAGTAAGCTCTCTGGCCAGCAGAGGCCAATTGAGAGCTTGAGAGGGAAAGGGTGAGTGGGTGGGGAGGGAGGGAGCTCGAGGCAAATCCGCGGTGACAGAAGGGGAATTGAAGATTGTTGAGATCGGAGAGAGTTTGGAGAGGGAGAGAGGGAGAGAAACAGAACCTCCGGCGAAATTCTCAGCGGGCCGAATCCAGCCAATCCGCGCCCGCCCTTTCTTGCTCACTCACTTTTTTTCCCTTTTCCTACTTAACCTTTCCCCAACTTCTACAATTTCCCACCTGGCACTTTTCCACAACTGCCCCGCGCAATTTTCTTTGACATATCCGTTCACGGTGGGTTTGCTGAACGACGTGGGAATCTCAGGATCTATAGATGTTTGCACTGCGGTCCCTGCGCCTGTTCTCACGAAGAATCCCGTCTCAATTCACCCTCCAGACTCCCCGTCTGATCCACACTGGTCTTCCTGCGGATATCAATCGACGTTTGTACGACGTGGTTCAAAGGATGCAGGAACCTCCCAAGAAACCCGCCCCTCCGCCCAAGAAGCGCAAGCAGCAGCTCCGCGATGAGAAGCGTCAAGGCTTCGACGAGGTCCTCCAGGCCGATATCGATGCGCTCATCCGCAAACACAAGCCCGCCACGGAGGTCGAGGTCGAGGTCGAGTACCTGAGCCCCCCAGAGCCAACCTTGCCCGAGCCCTTCACCGAGATCGAAGTCCAGATCGCCGAGATATCTTCGACGGGGGATGGTCTGGCACTGTCGGAGGACAAAAGCCACGTCTACGTGGTGCCTTTCAGCGTCCCCGGGGACAAAGTGCTGGTCAAGGTCGTGCGCCACTTCCCCTCGCTCCATTACAGCATCACGGACTTCATCAAGGCTGTTGAGTCTGGCTCCCAGCGCAACGATGCCGGCATCGGCTGCCAGTACTTCGGGAAGTGCTCGGGCTGCCAGCTGCAGATGATGTCCTACGAGGACCAGCTGGCGCACAAGAAGCGCATCGTCGAGAAAGCCTACGCCAACTTCTCCGGCCTCATCCCCGAACTGATCCCCGCCATCGGCGACACCTTCCCCTCGCCGCTGCAGTATGGCTACCGCACCAAGCTCACCCCCCACTTCGCCGCGCCCCCGGGCAGCGGCCGCCGCCGCCACAAGGGCGCCTCGGCCCCGCGACACACCGAGGTCCCGCCCATCGGCTTCACCTACAAGAACCGGCGCACCGACCTGGACATCGAAGACTGCCCGCTGGGCACGGACATCGTGCGCCAGGGGCTCAAGAGCGAGCGCGCGCGCGTGGCCGAGCGCATCTCCACGTACACGCAGGGCGCGACGCTGCTGCTGCGCGAGTCGACCTCGCGCACGCCCAAGCACGAGACCGACCGCGAGAAGAGCGAGTGGCCGCGCACTGACGATCTGAACCACGTCAACGACTATTCGGCGGACCTGATCCGCACCGAGACCGACGCCTACACCGAGGAGAAGCGGTGCGTGACCAACCCCAACGCCACGACGGTCGAGTACGTCGACGACTACGTCTTCACCAACAAGGCCGGCGCCTTCTTCCAGAACAACAACTCCATCCTCACCGGTTTCACCGACTACATCCGCCAACACGCCCTGGCGCCGCCCTCCTCCTCCTCCTCCACAAACACCGCCGACGAACCCCAACCCCACAATCCAATCAAATACCTCCTCGACGCCTACTCCGGCTCCGGCCTCTTCACCATCACCCTCTCCCCCTTGTTCAAATCCAGCCTCGGCGTCGACGTCGCCGGCGACTCCATCCTCTCCGCCCGCCAGAACGCCCGCGCCAACCACCTCCCCAACACCGGCTTCGCCGCCGCCGACGCCGCCGTCCTCTTCAAGGACGTCCCCTACCCCGCCGACCAAACCCTGCTGGTCATCGACCCGCCCCGCAAGGGGTGCAGCGACGACTTCCTCCGCCAGCTGCTCGCCTACGGCCCCCGCCGCGTCGTCTATGTGTCGTGCAACGTCCACACCCAGGCCCGCGACGTCGGCGTCATGGTCCAGGGCAGCGCCCAGCAGAAGATCCGCTACGAGATCGAGAGTATCCGCGGCTTCGACTTCTTCCCCCAGACCGGCCATGTCGAGGGCGTGGCGGTCCTGAATCGCGTGCCGATTCCGGAGGGTTCGGTTTAGTTGTTTGTGGTGGTGGTAGTGGTAGTGGTGACAAGCTGGGGCTGGTGGGGAGTGCGGGAGTGGTTGTGAATACAGACTTCTTTTTCTGTGTTATATATACATTATTTCTTAGTATCGGCGTTGTTGGGGGTTGGGGGGGGGGTATTTGAAAATAGATCTTCTAAATTCCACACTTCATCATTTGGGTTCCTTGTTTACAGGGAAATATCTTCGGGTTCTGGGAGTGGTTGCATCTACATTTTACATCCATACTATATACATTGATTGCGGGAGTGAATGGGCCGACAGCCCTGCCATCGAAGTTCATGTGTGTCTGTGTTTTGTGCGTCGAGAACAGCTTTCTCCTGCCCGGTTTACTGATAGAAGCCTTTTGGTTTTGTTTCACAATCATGAAGAAGAAGAAAAGACTATGGACAAAATGGAACAAAGAGCACGATATCTCACACGCCAATCACACAGAGAGAGACACAACAACATCTATGCACTGCCGGGCCCACCCAGGAGCGCAAACCGACGGACGATACTGGGGCCGATCTCGTCGTACTCGGCCTTGGTGTGGCAGTAGCTGCGGAACTCGGGCGTCTGGCCCAGCAAGCTGCCGCCGAACCACGGGCCGTGGCGCTGTCGCTTGTGCGTGACGACCGCCACGTCCAGGCCACCGCTCCGCGCGCCGCCGCTGCGGGCCTCCGAGGCGCGGATGCGCGCGTCGACCAGGTGCCGGATGTCCCGCTGCAGACGGCGGCCGAAGTCCTTGTACAGGGTGGATCCACCGGACAGGACGATGTTCTTGTAGAGGCCTCGCCGGACGTCGATGGGCGAGGACTGGATCACGCCGTCGACGACGTTGGGCAAGGGCGTCAGGAAGTCGGAGGAGTAGATTTCCGGGTTGAAGAAGATCTCGGGGGCCAGGAAGCGCTCGTAGCCGACGTCGATGCTCACGCTCCGGCCATTTGGGGCGGTCACGGTGTGTTTGAGGAAGCGGTCGGGCTCCCGGTCGTAGCGCGCGAACTCCTTCACAATGTCCGGGCACACGTAGCAGTATTCCTCCTTGACCTTCTCGGCGGTCTTTAGGCTGCTGTCCGGCTCGCCGCGGTCACGGAGCAGACTCTGGACGAAGTAGGTGATATCGCGACCGGCGATGGGGATGCTCTTGATCGAGGACCCGATGACGTAGCCCTCTGCGACGGGGATGACATGCGTGACACCATCGCCCGAGTCGATGACGGTTCCGGTGAGCGATCGATCGGTGACCTTCGACGAGGTCCAGGAGGCAGCGAGCGCCAGCACGGCTTGGACGGCGATGTAGAGACCGGCGCAGTTGAACGACTCGAACATGATCTCGGCGGTGTTCTCACGGTTTTCGGGGGGGTTCAAGGGCTGATGCAAGTTTTGGATGTTAGTGGACTAAATCTCCCGGTGTCGCATGGGGCACAGGGTAGTTGGTAGCGTACGGGTTCGGTGAGGAGGAAGTAGTGGTCCTCCGGCTCCACGCGCAGGTACTTGAAGATGGAATTGGACCAGAACCGCTCCATGTGGTCCCAGTTCTCAATTTGACCATGACGGATGGGGTAGTTGATCGCATAACCGGGGCCGTTGGCGGCTGCCAGCGCCTCGTCGCCAATGAAGTAGTCCAGGTCCTCCGTCCCACGCTTCGTGGACAAGTGCGAGCTTGCCCCACCACCACCACCGGCCAGGAAAGATGGCTTGTTCGCGACGGGAGGTCGGCCGGGGGCGGAACCTGCAGCACTTCCGGCGCCCGCCTTGGTAGCAATTGCGGTGGGAAAGACGAAGGATGGCGAGTCGTTACCGGCGAAACCTGGTGACTTGTCAGCCTAGAGCTCCGTGGGGTAGGCAGTAGGCGTCGCTGGAATCATAGCGGGGGTGGAAGCTTACCAAGCTTGGAGTAACCAGTTCCGCTGAGCAGTGGAAGCTCATAGTCAGCTACATTGAGGTGTTTAAAGAACAAAGAGGGGGTTGTTGGGCGACTCACTTGTCCATGACAACGGCCGGAGTTTGGGAAGCCATGACGGATGATGTGGAGTACACGCACTCCCCCTTACTATCAGGTCGCGGACGAAAGGTGTTGGGTAGAAGGGAATTGACGGATGTGATCCGTAGGAGGGTAGATAAAGAGAAGCTGACCTTCCAAAGAGATCAGCAGAAGGGGGCCAGCGGGGGGAGGACAAGAGAAGAATAACAGTAGAGGAATGGGGGGATTTAATGGGGGGGGGGGGGAGGGGAGTGAATGGTGAATGGAGGGGAGCAGCAGCAACAGGAGGAGGAGGGAACGGACCGGGAGGGCGGGCAAGTCGGTGTCTCGTCCATGGCTGGCAGAACGGCACGTGTTGGCAATAAGTTAGTTAATCTATCTTTATCTTCATCAATTCATCAATTCATCGCCCTCAATAATACAATTTGTGCATGTCTTCTTCAACAAGAACAAAAAAAAACCCCTATCAATTGTACTATCGATAACTCTGACAAGACAATGGAACAGCTTTTATGGCAATCACTTGCAAATAAGAAGTACAGGACCGTACAGTACCAGTACAGTCTTTGAGGGCAGCTCTCTATAAGGAAGGAACTTCCTCCATCTCCATCTCCATCTACTTCTCCAACCAAACGATCATGTCTCCATCCACTTCCATCTTCTTCAACTCTGTCCTATACGACTCCCTAAAGCCCTCTGTCTATCAGTACTGACTGTCTATTCTTTGTCGAGTGGCATATGCTTTCTTTCTTCCTTCCATCATTCGTATTCCTTATCCAACCCTGGAGTGAACTGTATTCATAGAGACCGGTCGAACTACCACTCCACCCTCTGAGAATTGCGGCTGCGCTCCCCCTCCCGACTGCGGCTGTGTGTTCTTCTGCGGCTGCATTTGAATTCACTTCTGCTCGCTTTCATAAGCGTGGCCAACTGCACACCACTTGCTTAGCCCGGCGCAGTGAAGACCAGAACACGCTCAAGCTGAGGGACGCCGTGTTCTTTTACTTTCTTGCACTCTCAGAGTACTACGCTTCTCCTACACTGAGGACTTCAGGACCCACTCAATTGGCCGTTGTGACTTGTGCTCTGACACTCTGATTACCCGCCTGTACTTACAGTCAGTGTGACACGCAAAACACCCACCGGTCTGCCAGGTCTCCACTCAGTCAAGCCCGTCACGCGGCCGCGTCTCATTCCCGCATTCATTGCGAGGCACCTTGGTTTAATCATGTCCTCCAACAAGAGTGGTAGTGCTGGTGGTGGAGGCATTGCCACCATCTATGTCCATGCCGGCGCTGGCTTCCACAGTGTGCAGAATGAACATCTACATCTGCAGGCATGTGAAAAGTGAGTTTGCAACCAGTCTTTCTTCCCGCACTCTACCTGGCTTGAAGCCCTGCTAACTCGGAGCAGGGCCGCGCGATCAGGAATGGCCGTCCTGCGCAATGGTGGATCGGCTGTAGAGGCGGTCGAAATGGCCATCATGTATCTGGAGGACACCGAAATCACCAATGCTGGCTATGGCAGTAACTTGACAATCGACGGAGAGGTCGAATGCGATGCTACGATCGTCAATCATCTCGGGCGAAGCGGCGCAGTAGGAGCTGTGTCCCGTAAGTATTCCTTCCCGACTCAGAAGAAGACTGGTTAAGCGCCAGGCTCATGCCCTTTTGCAGAAGTCAAAAACCCCATTATGGTGGCACGAAGCATCTTGAACACGTCAGGAAAGCCACTAACCCTGGCTCGTGTTCCGCCTAATTTCCTGATCGGACGAGGCGCAAGGGACTTCGCCTATGACCAGGGACTGGTGGTCCTGCCCCCTGATGCTCTCGTGGCCCCGTCTGCAAAAGAAAGGTGGCGTCGCTGGCAGCAGGAGCTACAAGCCGCTGAGCACAAGGAGAGGACCAAGCTGGGGAACTATATCCCGTACCAGACTTGTTATCGCCGTCCCATTCCTGTGAACCCTGCCCAATTGGCCAACGCTTCCAGTCCTCGTCTTCCCGCCATGCCTGCGCCCAACGCTGTGGTTCCCGGTTACTCAGAGCCTGCAGACCCACGTTTGACCTGTACTACTGCAAGTCTGTCCCCAGCGGAACCAACCCGCACCCTTTCCGATGCTTCTGCACTTAGGGATGGCAGATACATGGATGGAGGGTCTTGCGCCTCCGCTGTGGATCTCGATGGTCCGTCGTCCGAAACCTCAGAGGCCACTGCCAGCCAGCCTGCAGAGGTGATGGACTATGTCAGCGATACTGTGGGGGCAATTGCTGTGGACAGCTGGGGCAACATCGCGGCCGGCTCGTCTTCTGGCGGCATCGGGATGAAGCACTCCGGTCGTATCGGACCTGCGGCACTTGTGGGAGTTGGCACAAGTGTGATCCCAGCCGACCCCAACGATCCAGAGAAGACCAGCGTCGCAGCCGTGACTTCAGGAACTGGCGAACATATTGCGACTACGATGGCCGCCCACACGTGCGCTATGCGGATCTACTACAGCCAAAAGAAACACAACGACGGCACATTCGAAGACGTGACCGAGGAAGAGGCAATGAGCTCTATGATTTCTTCCGATTTCATGGGTAATCCACTCCCACCTCTTCTGCCCGATCTTACTAACATGACTGATTCAGGCCATCCCGGTGTTCGTGGAAGCAAATGTCAAGCTGCCATCGGCATCGTGGCTGTCAAGAAGACCACGCATGGTGTTTACCTCTATTTCGGACACAACACAGACTCATTCGTAAGGCCTGAGACGAAGTCAATTGTTTTAGAGTTTCTACTAAATGCAGCAGGTGATTGCTTCCATGAGCAGCGAGGATAAACAGCCGGTGTGTGTGATGTCCCGCAACAATGGCAACGGTAGCATTGCTCAGGGCGGCCGCGCCACTCGAAGCAAACCCATGTCGCAAGCCAAGTAGTGGCACTCAACTAAGATCGAAGTCTGCCTTTACCAATTACCTAGCGCACATCTACTGTTGCGACAAGAGTGTTGCCCAGTCCACAAAGTAAGTGACTTATTTTTAATTCTACCATTTCGTCTGCTGTTATGACTTCATGGTGTTATGTATCTGGCGTACAACGCTCGAGATCGCCCGCTGACGCATCCTCCCCTCGAAGCCCAGATTCCTGATCGATGTTTCGTGTCAATTTCGGTATCGGGTTGACATCCAAGTCTATCTTCGCTCATAGCTCTTCCACCAGTGGACCAGATCCCGAAAACATGGTTTAGCCTGGCACCGAGCGCTCGTTGCTTCGTTGAGTGAGAGCCAGAATGTGATGAGCTGATACGGGCAACAAGAGGGAGGAACAGAGTGTATCCGTTTCCTAGTTACTTTTCCAAGCCTAAGGGGCCAAAGATAATACAGTAATTCCCGTGGCGTGGGCTGCTCTAGATATTTCGTGCCTTGTATACCCAGAACGGTAGCGATATCGTGGCTGCCGAAGAGGAAAGCCATAGCATGTCCTGGTCACCCTCACGGACCAGGTGTCGGCGTGGGTGTAGGCGTCGCCGAGGCCCCATTGCCCGGGCCACGAGCCTTCTTCTTTTTCTTCTTCCGGGCTACCACGGCCGGCTTGGCCCCGTAGTCGCCCATCTCCAACACGGACCCGCAAGTCAAGCACTCGCCTTTCTCGAGCGGCTCACAGAAGATACTCAGACAGATGGAGCAGACGAACCCGATATCCACGACGCGGCGGTGACAGAAGCAGGCGGCGCGGAAATCGACGTCGACGCGCGTGGGGAGGATGAGATGGCGGCGGGAGCGCTGGTCCGGCAGGAAGGCCATCATCAGGTACTGCAGCAGGCCCCGGGGCTCGGCGAGGGCCATGTACACGCCCTTGGTGGCGTCGGCGGCCTGCTGCAGGAAGACGGCGTCGCCGGCGAGCTTGCACACGTCGATGGGGATCTGGAGGCGCTGGCAGGCGAAGATGGCGTTCATGATGGGGATGTACTGGTGCGCGGCGCCGGTGGCGCTGCTGACGCTGAGGATGAGGATGCGCGACTGCAGCCCGGCTTCGGTGCTCGCCTTGCTACCGCCACCGGACCCGGCCCCGCCACCGGGTGCGTTCGTGGTGGTGGTGGTGGTGGTGTGGCTACTGCCGCTACTGCTGTTGGGATCCGTCTCCCCGCCGTGCGCCTCCGCCCACGCGATCGTCCGGCGGTTGATGTGGCTCAGCGCCAGCGTGAGTGCCCCGGCCATCAGGGTGGATGTTGTCGCTGATAAATCCGCCGGCGTCGTCCCGGCGAGTAGGTTATGTAGGTTCTGGGTGACCTGCTCCTCGACGATGCGGAAGGGGCGGTATTTGTTCATTTCGGTGGTGGGCGGCGGTCGGTGGTGGGTTTGGGTTTGCGGGTGCATGGGCGTGTCGCCGTCGCTGTCGGCGGGTTGTGCTTGGGTTTGGGTTTGGGTGTGTGGTGGGGAGGCGACCGGATACAGCCATGTGGCCTTTTGGGTGTGTGAGGCCACCACCGCCACTTCGTTGGCGTAGTTGTAGGCTAGGTGGGCGTTCAGGAAGACGAGGATGTTGGCTACGGCGGTCGAGAGCGGGAGGGCGGATTGGTTGCTGAGTTGCGCCCAGGCGTGTGGGTTGGTGTCGAGGATGACGGTTAGGAGGGAGGGGGGTCGGTCTGGTTTTCTTGGGGTTAGTTTTGTGGGTGGAGGAAGGTTGAGAGGGGGGATGGGTTGGGGGAAAGGTGGGATTACCGTGGGCACTGGTTGAGTAGTGCTCTGTTGCGTCGATGGTGTTCATTTTTGGGGTTGGTGTTTGCAGGCGTGGTGATAGGTTGGGTGGGTTGGTGGGGGGCTTCCGGAGGAAGTGTGGGGAGTTTGGGATTTAGTTAGTGGGTGAGAGAGTTCATTGTGCTGTGTGGAAATGAGGTTGGACGATAGGTTTGCAGAGAGAGGTATTTCAAAGGTAGTGGTGGAGGAGTATAACGCATCAAATTGATAAAGATAAGGCGGGGAGATTGGGAGTACACCGCCTGCGCCACCGCTCCCAACTACCACTGCAGCTCTAGTTGCTTGCCGGATTGGGAATAGTGCAACACTGTATACGGTTTCTACAGATATCAGCTTCCTTTCAACTGCTACTGAGATTGAGCCCGTTGGGCATGTGAAAAAAGCCATTGGCTTGATGAGAAAGAAACTATTTTGAGCACAAAAGCAGAGACTAGGATCAATGCTCAATCCTCCGCATTTGTACTGTAGTGACCTCATCCGGACTATATATCCTTCGGACCCATAACAATCGAGAATTTTGTGACAGCCTGCAAATCCAATACTAGAAAATAGTACTAGCTTGTATCTGCAGATCAGAATTACGAGTAGCAGGACGGATGAACTGCGCCCACTTCCAATGATATCATCTCCTCGGGCTGTTCCTTTCCCGAGGGTTGTTACATTCCTACCTACTAGCCCAGGTCGCAGCCCCCTCCCTCGTCACGTTCAAGTATGATAGCCTTTATTGAGATATACCTACCGTAGTACGCTCATATACCTACACTTCAATAAGTCACTAGACACATCCCCTTAAAACAAAAGCCATGGCCCTCGCGAACAGACTAGCAATCCTCCCCGGAGGCCTAGGTAACTACACCCACCCACCCATCCATACAACATCCTTCCTCCACCCACCTCCCCCCCCACCCCCTCCTTCCCTTTCCTACCACAAACCCAAGTTACTTTACTCACCAGAACCACTACAAGCAGGCGGCCTGGGCACCAGCATCGGCCAGAAGCTCCGCCAGCAAGGCGCGCAGCTCGCCATCCTCTACGCGCCCTTCGAAGCCGCCCGGCGCGACCAACTCCTGGAAGCCGGGTATGGGGCAGCTGCTCACCACCGCCACCGGGACATCCACACCTACGAATGCGACATCACGTCGCCCGAGTCCGTCGAGTCGGCGTTCACTAAGTTGGCGGACGAGTTGCGATGGCCCCCGCCGTCTACACGGGCACCGTTGCACTCAGCACACCCCACGATCTTTCCGAGCATCCTGATCAATACGGCCGGGTATGTCTCGTTGAGTGACATGGAGGCGACGCCGCCCGAGGAGACGCTGAAGCATCTTACAACCAACGTGCTGGGACCGATGTTGTGCGCGCAGGCGTTCGCGCGGCTTTACTTTGCGCGGGCGTTCGCTTCGGAAGGGCAACAGGCGTCGCGATCGATACCGCCGCCGCCGCCGGGGAGGATCGTGAATATCGCTTCCCAGGCGGCGCATGTGGCGTTGCCGCGCCACGGGGCTTATTGTGCGTCCAAGGCGGCGTTGCTAGGCTTGACGCGGAGTATGGCGTCCGAGTGGGCGGGCAGGGGCATCACGGCTAATTCGGTATCGCCCACCGTGGCGTGGACGGAGCTGGGCAAGAAAGCCTGGGGGGAGGCTTCGGTCAAGAATGCGTTCCTGAAATCTATCCCGACGGGCAAGTTTGCTCTGCCGGAGGAGGTGGCGGATGCGGTGCTGTTTCTCTGTCAGGTAAGTAGACTTTGAAGGGGAACGCCCTGCATGGTCGTCAGTATCAACTAATGACATGGTAGGACTCGAGCGGGATGATCAATGGCGCGGACGTTAGGGTCGATGGGGGCTTCACTATCCGGTAGTGGCCAGAGATCGAATGGGGAAGCCGAGCGGGGGATCTACAGGTGCTGAGGTGGTCGCGGAAGGGCAGGGAGGTCGTCGGATCCAAAATGGTCTATCGCTATTTCGTGCCATCGGGACCGCGGTAGGAGTATCTAACAAGCTATGCGAAGCTTACTACTACCCACTATCCGTCCATAAAGGACAAACGTAAACGATGATCGAGTTCTAGATGGGAAGGATCTCCCAGATGCAATCTATGTGTAATTAATCGGGCCAAATGTCCAGCTGGCCGCTTGTTGGAATCAGCACCGGGAGCTGTATCAGAGAATTGCCTCCGGCTTCACGTGAAGACCGTTGTCCTTCTCCTCCGTCCGGTCCAGCACGGGAATTCTGATCGAATCTTTGAGAGCAGTAGGCGTGGGCTGTGCCAAAGGACTGGGCTGCGGTGAGACTCCCGGCGTCCCGCGTTTGCTTTCATGTTCAGTAAGTCCTTTTCGGATGGCGAGCACCGAGTCCACAATGACCGCATCGATACCCTCAGCAACCTGAAGCTGTGAAAAGTGTTAGAGACGACAGAAGATCGGCGCCCTTTGTTGACTTACCTTGACGTTGGCCGGGTCATTGTTGATCGCTCCATACGACACACACACCAGCCCGGACTCCTTGACCACTCGGACGAGTCGAGGACACAGAACAAGAGCCTCAGCCTGTGAGACAACACCGAGCAGGTTCCATCGGGATGCAAAGCGGATTGCTTCTTGCAGACTGCTAGCACGAATATCGCCAACAGGAGACGCTCCAGAGTCCGACAAGAAGAGCACGGGGATAGAGGGCTGTTTGAAAGCAAGCAGCAAGCAGACGTCGGGGTTGAAGCTGGAGAAGATCATGTTGCGTCCCTGGCCCATATCATAGGCCTTGGTAAGGACAGTATCCACAAAAGAATTCAACTCCACTGCATACGTGTCCATCTCTTCCTCCTCGCTTTCGTGGAGCATGGGGTATTCTGGTGGCCGTGGTCAGTTTCTCGTGAGTGTTCTTAGAGCGAAAGGATACTCACTTAGCTCGATGTTGAATCCAACGGATTGAGGGAGTTTCTTGAACAATTCTTCCAAAGTGGCGAAAGGCGCTTGGATGTGGTTGCCACGACTGTTGCCTTTGAAGCCCTTCTTTTTGAAGTCACGGGTGTGCTTAATCTTCTCGTTCAGTTCGGACGGGTCATACTCGGAGCCACCAACGGACATCGACCGCTGGCGAGGATTGAAGTACCCCTTGTCATTGCCAAACACGTCTGGCGTCTGGGGTGGCGAGCCAGGGCGACGGGCTGGTTTATTGTCTCCCACCTGAAGAAATTGTTCTAGCGTGAGGGTGTGGACCGGAGCATCAATTCCCGTCTCGCTGACAAGAAAATCATGGTAAATGACAGGTACATGGTCCTTTGTCAGCTGGACGTCGAATTCGACGTAGGAGGCGCCCAGATTAGCAGCAGCGATGAAAGACTGCACAGTGTTCTCGCCCAGCTGTAATGAGTTGCGGCTAGCAAAGTTCTTACCCAAACCACGATGTCCAATTACCATGGTGGAGCTCATACTCTTCCAGTACGTTCGGTCCCCAGTGATTGTCATGTTGGGGTGCTTGAATGGCGTAATGATCAGGAAATTGAACGTGACAGAGCCGATCACTTCTAATGTGTTTGCTGCAACGATAGGGACCGTAGAGTCGCCCTTGAGGTTGATGCGGTGGGATCCTAGTGTAGGCTTGATACTCGAAAGCAAGGCAACACCCCGTCCAACAATCTTGTCCTTAGAGCCAGCGTAGGTTGGGACTAGATCAAACAGGAGCCTGACTTTGGAAGCATCTTTGGCGTGGAAAACAATAGGCTCAGTGGAAATATTGTCCTGAACAGGAAGGTCAATGATTTCAGGCTCCCCTCGGGCCCCGCTAGCAGAAACGACAATCGACAAAGCAGTGTCGAGCTGAGTAGAATGAGCGCTCTCCATTGGGATTCGATCAAGATTGACAGCCTCGAGAGAGCTTCGCATGTCCATAGTGCCCAAGCTGACCAGAACCATGGACTCATCAGTGAGATACCGATGGCCAAAGGTCTTGATAGGCTCTGCATTGCGTAACGGGGTATTGGTGGAAGGTGCATTAGACCGCCTGTCAGACAAGGAAGACGGGGGAGGAGATGGTGGAGCGGACGAGACAGTTGGAACGGGGATGACAGGCTCGGCTTCGCTGATCTCGGGAGGTGGTGTGACTTTGGCAAGACATCGAGCGATGTCGAGATGGCCTCTCAAAGCCGCATGCTCCTTGGCAGTCCAACCGGAGGAGTCAAGCCTTTCGAGCTCGGCGCCTGCTTCGATCAGCAATTCCACAACTCTCAAAGCTCCATCGACGCAAGCGATGAACAGTGGAGTCCATCCATACGTCTTCTCAGCGAGTTCAGTATCGGCCTTCTGTTCTGCATTACCCTGCAGCAGGATATCCGCGCATTCATGATGACCAAAGCGGGCAGCGACATGCAGGGCGGTTTCACCGTGGTCATCCTGATAGTTAATGTCCACCCCGGCCTCAACCAGAAGGCGTACGATGTCGACAAAGTTTGCTTTGGTCGCCAAAGCCAGCACAGCACTGGAGCGCGAGACTTGTTTGCGGATTTTGGCTTTGTCTTTATTGGCCCCATGCCAATTTTCGGACTCAAGGAGATATTTTGTAGTCAAAGGATGGCCGCCCACGACACTCAGATGCAATGGAGCCCAGCCATCATTGTCCTGCCAACGTGGACCATCGATTCCTTCGATGACGTCGAAGATATCCCACGCCTGCAGGTGCTCGATGATGACTTCGCACACAACCCTGAATCCATATTGTGCTGCATAGTGAAGCGGGGTACGCCCCGAGATATCCTTCGCAAGAAGGGCTTCGCGCTGGGTAGGGTGAAGCTGGTCTAGTATATGCTGCAGCAGCGACACCGACGGATCAGATCTTTCCAGATGCTGAGGGAAATCTTCCTCTTTCACGACCGAACGAGGCGCTTGCAGAGTAGGCATAGCAGCAGGAGTGATGTAGTTCGATGTTTCCAAAGGGAAGTCAAGGACCATAGAAGCAGACTGCTCCGAATCGTTGGTGGGCTGCGCACGACCGATCGAGATCACCAATCGATGGATACAGTTACGCTTATTGATATCGTCCTCCTCATCCAGCGTGTCCATGCGGTTCAGCAACACTGTGATGCAAGCATTCGCGCGATAATAGATGGATCGCTGGAGGAGACTTTGAAGGACTTTGGGCCAGATTTGTTGTCCCGAGTCATCAGCAGCCACCTTC